AGAGAGAGAGAGAGAGAGAGAGAGAGAGAGAGAGAGAGAGAGAGAGAGAGAGAGAGGGAGAGGGAGAGGGAGAGAGAAAGAAAGATAATGGTACCTACCGAGTGTCATATAGCCTTCAGGAGTTGGTAGATGAATGAGGACAAGTAGCTTAGAAGGAAAATGATTAGCCTGGTGTCACATTTCCTGCTGTCCATATTTGTTTATATTTAAGATAGCATTTAATGTAATTTGAGGATTTTCCTGAAGAGGGTAGAAGGTTTGAATATTACTTCTCTATGACTTACTCCATGGTATATGAATGAGACAGAATTCTAGGGTTACTCAGAGAATCATCAAATACATTTGGATGATAACAATCATTTAAAAATGGAAACATCTAAAACTTAAATCTAGATCAAGTGGGATGGCTCAGTGTGTAAAAGCATTTTCAGTGTAAGTCTTAGAATCCAGATTCAATCCCAAGATTCTACGGTAGAAGTTGAGAACAAACATCTGAAATTTGTGCTCTGACTTCCAGCGCTCCATGGTATGTTCACATCCCTAGTCTGTCACACACCAATCAGTAAATGCTTCTTTAAAGACAGAAGATTTCCTTAAAAAAAGAAGTCATCAGATACTTCAAGACCAAAATCAGTACCGTAATTATAAATCTCACATAATTTAGCTCCTGCTGAGTCTCCGGCATAGGAGACAGGAGCCATGCAGTGGAAGATGAACAGCACAGAGACTGTACTGCTCTATCAGTACCTCTGCAGTCTCATGGTAGATGGATTCAGTAAAATTTCAGATAAAATCAAGCCAAGGCCCACCTTTATATCCACACCTCACTAGATTACTAAGAAGAGTTATTTTTAGTAGATAAATTTCTTTAGGACTTAAGAATTCTGATTGTTTTCTTTCTGCATCTCCCAACTATGAAACCAAGGTCAGTAATTATGATAGTTATTACACCAGCCAGTGAGTCAAATATCCAAAGATCAAGGTCAGTAATCATAACAGCTACTATATCAGACAGTGAGTCAAGTGTCTCAAGATTGAGAAGACAAAGAGAAACTGAAAAACAGAGGGAGATTCGCCATTCAGTCCAATAGTCTGTGCATTCAATTTCAGGTTCTTTTCTATTTTAGAAACATTTTAGAAGAATTTATGAATAAAAGTATTTTTCCTGCATGTTTGTTGTATTTGTACCATGCCTGTGCCTCAGAGACCAGATCAGGGCATCTGATCCCCTGGAACTAGAGTTGTAGATAGCTGTGAGATGCTTTGAGGGTGCTGGCATCTGAAGTGAAGTCTTCTGCAACAGCAGCCAGTTGTCTCAATAGCTGAGTCATCTCTCCACCCTCAGCTTCTTTTCTGTAGCCTCTGGTGATCACCCAGTGATCAATTGCACAAGTATTACATATGCTCTTTTCTTACCTCTTTCTGGTTTTTTTTTATTTATTTACATCCCATTCTTGCCTCTTTTTAAACTCAGCATTTGTCATAAAGTAATGAACATTTGACAATAGAAAAAATGATATTTTCAGCAACTTGATGTCTCAAGGAAGATAAACCAGAAGTAGACATTGTTTGTTTTCAAAATGTGTTGTTAATGGGAAATTTTTACACACACACACAAACACACACACACACACACACAGAGAGAGAGAGAGAGAGAGAGAGAGAGAGAGAGAGAGAGAGAGAAAGAGAGACAAAGACAGAGAGACAGAGACATTCACAGAGATAGAAGAACAGACTGTGATGGACATATACAGACACAGACACAGATACACACAGAGACAGGATACACACATGCACACATGAATAAACAGGTCATAGCTGCTGTGATATAGCCCAAATGTCCAGCTTTTATCAGTGAAATACACAGTATTTGGCTAGAGATGTTGTGGCTAATATGGCAGGAGCCAAATCCTTACAACCTAAAATGTATAGTACAAGAAACTTCTTCCAGTTTCTCAGTTGACAGCACTGGATTCTCAGCAAAAATCTTCAGTATCAAGACTTGTCTGATCTTTGTGTAAGATTTATCTACCTTACTTTAAGAAAAACATCAGAAATTAGTATTTTACTAGTTGGGCACAGTTTCACATACCCATAATCCCAATACTTTAGAGACTATGACAAGAGGATGCTATGTTCCTGATCAGCCAGGGCTATCGAGTGGGTTCCATACCAGCAGCTCTTTATGGGATGGGGAGAGACTTTGTGAAGTTTACCCCTTTGTGTTAGCATGTCAATTGGTGCTGACATAATGCAGATCTTGTTTAGATGACCATGTTGTTAATATTTCATGTCTGGAATTAAGCAATAGGCTGTGTCTGCAGATTGGGAAATTCAAACATCATCTTCATTCTCATATCATTATAGTCTAGCACTCCAATAAATATGAAAGGACCAGGGTACAAAACAATTTCTATTTTGTGTGTAGATAATTTCCATCTAAGAGCAGCTTGAGTATCTCTACTCTGAAATTTCAAAATGTTTCAATACACAAGTCTTTCCTAAGCCCAGATAAATGGAAAATTTCAAATCTGACTTCATATGACAAGACTCAATTAAAAGCCAGATGCTTTAAAGACATTGTTCACTCCCCCGCTCCCGCCCCATCCTCCTCCCCACCACAAGAACTAGGTCCGTTGTTGCCCACCGCCCGAGATCTTCAAGCTACGTGCCCGCGAGTTCCCATTTGGACTTTTGCAATCAGAGATTACAACAATGGCTTCAAAATGGAGGGCTACTCCATCTTGGTAGTGTCACCCAGTATATGCAAGATACTGGCAGCATTATCATCATGCAATGCTTTGGATGCGAAGCCACCAGAACGCCTACAGAAAGTTCAGGGATTCCTATTTCACTTCCCCATGGTTCTTCCCTCATGGAGTTCTTCCCTGGAACTCTCTTGCTTATGAGGCTTGGCATCCTTGGAACTCTCAAGGTCAGCACATGGCAGAGCAGGAGTCTCCCTACAGTGTTTCCCATCTCAAAAGCCCTGGGCAACCTCTGCATAGCAGCAATAGAACCCAGGCATCCACAAGAGAAAACGAAGCACTGTGTGAAGAGGAAGAGCTGGAGTCGGATTCAGATGATGAAGTGGAGTGCGACCTGAGCAATATGGAAATCACCGAGGAGCTCCGCCAGTACTTCGAACAGACTGAGAAGCACAGAGAAGAGAGACGGCGACAGCAGCACCTGGACGCGGAGCGCCTGAATGACTATGTGAATGCGGACCACGGCCTGTACTTCAACCACCACAGGTCAGTGGAGCCCCCATCTGAGAAGCCCTGGGAGCGGCGCCAAGCAGAGATGAGGCGCTTGTACGGGAACAGTGCTGCCAAGATCCTGGCCATGGAGGCCGCTATGCAGATGAGCTTTGACAAGCACTGTGACAGAAAGCAGCCGAAGTACTGGCCTGTCATTCCCCTGAAGTTCTGAGTCCTGGGCACCAGGACCCTAGGCAATGCCTCACAGTTCCTAGCCTTTCCCTCTTTATCTCTCCTGTACATTTTTTTCAGAGAAAAAGGCCTGTATACGGATATGGTGGATACAGTCTGTCAGCCACTTATAATTCTGTCAACAATACTGTTACCACCACAAGGAATGTGCACTTGACATAAAGTGATAATTGTATGTATTGGACTGGCTCTCGGTTTCCTCTGTAACAGTCCAGTTCATTGAAATTATTGCCTAGAGATACTGCCTATTGTTTTGCATTTTTAATTTCCTTCTTCACGCTGTCGTCAATGTCATAAAAGCCTTAAGCCACATGTCATTTGTTGCTACATTTTTTAGACCAGTTTTTATACAGCACATGCTAGCTACAAATTCTTAAATCTCCCTGCTTCCACCTCCCAGATGCTAGCTTATAGGTTTGCAGCACCCACACTGGGCTTCTGTCCATATATTTTCTCAGACTGTAGATCTTTGGATCCCTCTGAAAACAATGCAAGTGAACAGTAAGACAAGTGGCACTTGTTACTCAGCTAGGTGTCAGCCCATATGCTCTGTAAAAGACCTGAGAGTAAATATTCTGGGCTTTGCAGGCCATGTTGTCTGTGTCCTAACTGCCTGACCCTGTCTTCATAGCATAAAAACAGCCATTGTTACTGAATAAACAAATGAATGTGACTGTGTTTCAATAAAACTTCGTTTAAAACAAAAACAAAACAAACAAACAAAAAAAGACATTGTTCATCTTCAAGTTGTCTTCAGGTTGTACTGATAGTATGTATATGAAACAAAACATACTCAGGGTATGGAGTTTGTGTTTAGATATGGGTCCATCTCCAAGGCATCTCATGGATATGAGATTATTTATATAAACACTCTCAAATCAAAAAGTGTCAAAGTCTGAAATGCTTCTGGTCCCAAGCATTTTTGATTAAGGAATATTCACCTATCTTGTGAAGGAGACAGAATGAACAGGAGGTTTGTAGGATGCTATGTAGACTGTTGGAAAGAAAGCACTCACTAGAGAGGTAATGTGTAAGTGAAGATCAGGAGATAGAGAACAAGGATGGTAGCTACTCTGTCCTCCTATGGGCATCACTCACACTAGTCCTTGAATTTAAGAGCCCAATATGCTATCCATTGCACCACAGAGCAACCTGTAATGAACTTTGAATTCATAGCAATATAATGAAAGAAAAAAATAGATATACTTAGAAGAAGATACAGTGTTATTATGTAAAGATAGTAGGTCTACATATGCAGTGTTAGTATGTGAAGTTAGTAGGACTACATATACATGTACATAGAAGAAAGCTTTCTGAGTATTAGAAATAACCAATATAAATTCAGTAAAAGGATAAGACATAAAAATGCATTAAAGTATCAGTGGCTTCACTATACATCTAAAATAAGCAATTCAAATGTAGGTAAAATTCTGCATTATCAATAGTAACAGAGATCATAAAATATTTTATGAGTTTTATGAGATAACATGAAAAGAACTACAAATCTTTACTTGATAATATAAGTAATACTTTAAGTAGTGGGGCATTAAATCAGAATGAGAGAACAAAAGATGTGTCTTATTCTACCCATCAGCTCTTCCTATGTTAATTTGTAGATTTGTGGCAATTCTAATGAGGCCACATCTTGAAAAATTAATGCAATAATCTAATGAAGAATGTGAGCTAGTGGAAAAACTTACTTTAGTCATTGCTAAATCATGCTGTAAAATTACAGAGCTGATAGTAATAGGGGTTTGTGTAAGAAACACCTAGCTCTTCAAAGAAATTAGTTTGTCTTGAAATAAATTTTAATGATGTATTTATTTTTATATACTTAATAATTATACAAGTACGTGTGTAGGTATGGGCACATAACTTCATGTGTCAACAGAGGCCAAAAAAAGGAAAAAGAGCTTCTTGACCTGTAGTTAAAGGGAGTTGTGAGCCGCCCGATGTAGGTGCTGGGAACCAAACTCAAGTCTCCTGCAAGAGCAGCAAGCCTTCTTAACTGATGAGCCATTTCTTCAGCCCAGAAAACTTATTATACAAATAAACATAATGCATCACATAATAAATATTGTAAGTAAAGAAAAACAAAAATTGAACAAAGGCTACTGAAAAGTTTGATTTTTAATTTCTTATTATACAGATTAAGGAAAAGATCAGGTCAGGAGATGGCTCAGTGGGTTGAAAATTTTGATTTAATTTTATATTGTATATTGGAGTAATTAAACATGCAACTGCAAGGTTGGAAGGTTCAGGGCTTTGATCAACAGAACCCACATCAAAACTGGGTAGGGTACATACCTCTGAAATTCCAGAGCTGTAGGGTAAAGGCAGGCAGGAATTGGAGGTTCTCTAGATAGCCAGTCTAGACAAAACACAGAGCCTTGGCTTCAGTAAAAGACCTTGTCAAAAAGTAAAATGAAGAATTGAAGCCAAGTTATTTAATTTCTCACATGCACACACATCTTACACAAACATAAATAAGTAGATTTTTCTAAACAACTGGACTGCCTATAAAAGTACATGGAAAATAATAACGGAACAGGCAAGGAAGCTAAGCAGAGATCTCAAAGGACAATACACACCCAGAAAACACTTGTCTATATTAATAATTCAGGAAGAACACTATGTCACTTTCATCTCTCAGTTATACATAAAACAGTCTACACTGAACATGGCGGAAGTCCCTTGAATGGATGAATCATGTGTAGTTTTTGTAAAGTGCTCACACATGGACCCTTAGCAAGGCAAAGCAACACTACCTCTATGCAAAAGAGCTTCGTCATGTGGATCATAATTTTAAAAAATGTGCTCATACTTTCCTCCAATAATTGCAGTTCAAAGAAACAATAAAATAATCAATTTGAAATGGTAACCATGATTTAGATGCAAACATGCTACTCATTGAATTGTTTGCAATCAGATTGAGAAAGAGAACAGCTAAAACTTGCAAGAATAGAGGATTGATGAGCTCCTGTATTTATATGATAATCTGCTTCATGAGGAAATTTGGTTTTGAAGAATATTTAATTGCATGGATCAATGTTCACAAAATTTTAAGTAAAAAGCACAGAATCTTTAAATAAGATTAAAAACACAATATAAAACTCTGAAAGTGTATTAAAATGTATTTTTAGTGTGTGTGCATATGTATGCATTGAACATGTGTGTGTTGCACATATATGAATGCACAAATGTGCAGCCCCTGTGTGTACATATGGAGGTTGGTATGTCAAGTATCTTCCTCTTTGTTTCTGTTTTGCCCTTAGACAGGGTCTCTCACCAAACAGGAGGTTTGCTGTTTCAGCAAGGCTGGTGGGCCAGGAGCTCAGGGATTGGCTTGGCTGGCCCTGCCATACTCCTAGTTCAAGAGTTACTGCAAGGTATGCACAGTCATGTTGTTTTTAATGTAGGTGCTGGGGATTCTACCTGAGGTCCTCATACTTCTCTTCTTTTCCACTGAGCCATATCTGCAGTCTCCATGTTACAATACGGTTTAGTTGGGTATGTGTATAAGAAAAATTAAAGGTACCAACTAATACTTACTTTTGAATAATATGACCAGAAATGTTGTATTGAATTCTACTTTTGCTTATTTAAATGCACATGCTCAGGAAAGCTGTCTAATTACAATTTTAAATTATGAATGGAAAGTAGTGAGGACATTTCGATAATACTCCTTTTATCTGAATACATTATATGCACATAATCAACCTTAAAAGGAAATATAAGAATCATTTTTATTGCTCATTTTCATAACAGGAACACTCCACTTGAATGAGTTTACAGCCACTTCTATTAGTAAAAATTCAGTAAAGATTTAAAAATTTTTCCTAATTGAAGAGAGTGTCTTATATTTTTGACGTAATGGTATTTTATCATGTAACTTAAAAGGATGTTATATTTCTGGTTGTGAGCATAGCATTTAACATTAGGCTGACTCATAAAACTGAAAATGAAAAACTTAGGAACTTGAACAAGAACCTTAGAGATAATCTTCATCATTGGAATACAAGAGGCAGAAGAAAGAATCTCAGGCATTGAAGACAAGGTAGAAGAAATGGACACCTCAGTTAAAGAAAATGTTAAATCTAAAACAATTTAGGCACAAAAGACCCAGGAAATCTGGGACATTATGAAAATACAAAACATACGAATAATAGGAATAGAGAAAGGAGAAGAAACCCAGATCACATTCACAGAATATATTTACAATAAAATCACAGAAAAAAAATTCCTAACCCAGAGAAGGAGATACCTATCAAGGTAGCACAAGCAAACAGAACAAGTAGACTGGATCAGAAAAAAAAATCCCCATGACTCATAATAATGAAAATATTAACTATACAGAACAAACAAAGAATATTAAAAGCTATAAGGAGAAAAGACCAATTAACACGTAAAAGCAGATCTATTAGAGTAACACCTGATTTGTCAATGAAGTCTCTAAAAGCCAAAAGGACCTAGACAGATGTTCTTCAAACTCTTAAAAGATCATAGATGCCAGCCTAGACTCTTATACCCTGTAAAACTTTCAATCCCAATAGATAAAGAAAGAAAAAAATTCCACATTAAATTCTAATTTAAACATTATCTATCTATAAATCGATTTCTACAGAGGACACTAGAAGGAAAACTTCAACCTGGAGAGGTTAATCACATCCAAGAAAACACAAGGAATAAATAATCTCAGACCAGAAAATAAAAAGAGGAGAAAAACACACACCAGCACAACCAAATAGTAGGAATCAAAAAACACTGCTCATTGATAACTGGATAGCTCTCAACATCAGTGGTCTCACTTCCCCAATGAAAAGACAGATTAACATATTAGATATGAAACAGGATCTATTCTTCTACCACATTCAAAGCACAAAATATAATTCCAAATGGAAGACCTCAACATATGGGCAGAACAATGAATCTGACAGAAGATAAATTGGGGAATAATTGACTTTGTTGGCATAGGAAAAGACTTGGAGCAGAACACTGATAGCATAAGCACTAAAAATAAATCAGAGTTCATGAAACTGGAGAACTTCTGTATGGCAAAGGACATCAACAT